GGGTGACCAGCAATGGTGGAGAGGACATGTATTCTTTCAAGCTTTCCAGAGCTTGGTCGCATTCTTCGTCCCATTCGAACTTGGTTTTTAAAGCTTGAAAAAATGGTCGTAGTCTGTCTGACGATCGGCTTATGAACCGATTAAGCGCAGTTGCCATGCCGGTGAGATGCTGCACTTCTTTTACTGAGTTTGGTCTCTCCAAATCCTGAATTGCTTTGATCTGGGAGGGGTCCGCTTCTATACCCCGGTTGGTCACAAGGAAGCCTAGGAATTTGCTAGATCCTACTTCGAATGCACACTTAGATGCATTGAGGCACAACTTGTGTTTCTTCAGGATTTCAAATATCTCTCCTAAGTCTTTGAGATGGTCATTCTCATCCTTGCTTTTGACCACCATGTCGTCGATGTAAGCCTCCCTCGTTCTTCCTAACAATGGTTCAAACATCTTGGTGACCATTCATTGGAATGTTGTCCTTGCGTTCTTCAGGCCAAAGGGCATGACCTTGTAACAGTATAGTCCTCTCGGAGTTGTAAAGGATGTGACCTCTTGGTCTGGTTCATGCATGGCGATTTGGTGGTAGCCTCTGTATGCATCCAGAAAGCTAAGTCGGTTGTGCCTCGCCGTTAGGTCTACCAGCTGATCTATCCGTGGTAGAGGAAAGCTATCTTTCGGGCACGCCTTGTTGACTGTTTTATAGTCGACGCAGACACGCCATTTGCCATTCTTCTTTGGTACTACTACTGTGTTGGAGATCCATCTTGGGTAGTGCACTTCTCTAATTGCTCTTGCCTCCAGCAGGTTACTTACTTCTTCCGCCACTATCTCGGCGTGGTGGAGTGTCGATCTGCGTATGCGTTGGATGATTGGCCTGGCGGATGGATGGACATTAAGTTGGTGACAGATGAAGTTTGGATCAATGCCTGGCATGTCGTAGGGCGTCCAGGCGAACACTTCGATGTTAGAGGTTAAGAATTCCAAGACCTCTAATCTCTCAGTGCTCTTGCCTCCAGCAGGTTACTTACTTCTTCCGCCACTATCTCGGCGTGGTGAAGTGCCGATCTGCGTATGCGTTGGATGATTGGCCTGGCGGATGGGTGGACATTAAGTTGGTGACAGATGAAGTTTGGATCAATGCCTGGCATGTCGTAGGGCGTCCAGGCGAACACTTCGATGTTAGAGGTTAAGAATTCCAAGACCTCTAATCTCTCAGTGCTAGACAACGACGAACCGAGCAAAAAGAACTTATTCGAGTTCTTTTCATCTATTTTCACCTCTACCAAGTCTTCTACCGCTTTCTGATTAGCCGCTTTGCCTACATCTGTGAATAGTTCATTACTCTCTGGTTCTTCCACCGAATGAACATATCCTTTGGCAGCGCGGCTGCCGTTTACCATGGCAAAGCATTGCTTGGACATAATCTGATCTCCGTAGACCTCTTCAATTACACCGGTGTCGTTGGGGAACCGCATTACTTGGTGGTAGGATGACGCTACCGATCGCATGGCATACAGCCATGTTCTGCCCAAGATGATGTTGTAAGTGGAGGGGACCTTCAATACCCAGAACTCCATTTGTTTCGTCACGCTTCCTGCTCTAACTGGAAGAATTATTTTGCCGACGGGCCATTCTGGCATGGAGTTGAATCCAATTAGGGGAGATACAGCAGGCGCCAAGTCTTTGTCTTCTAGTTTCAGTTGTTTAAATGTTTTCATAGTACATGATTTCACATGAACCACCCTGGTCAATCAGAATCCGCTTGACGTCAAAATCCTTGACTGGGAGAGTGATGACCAGGGCATCATTGTGAGGGCAGTATATTCGTTTCAAGTCTTTATCCGAAAAAGACATGACGTTTGTTGCCTCTGTCTTCTCCTTCTTGATGGCAGGCTGGGCACTTAACACCTCTCTGAAGTGCTCGGCCTTTTTGATTGATCCCCTGAGCTCGCATACACGCTTAGGTTCAAAGACTCCATGTATCACATTAAATGCCTTGAGGCGGGGCGTCGATTGGCATCCCATTGGGGTTATTATGGTCCTGGGGGGCTGGTTGCGTCCCTCCTTCAATGTATTTATCCAAGTGACCTGCCGCCACCAATTCCTCCAAGTGCTGTCTCAATGGTGTGCAATTTTCAGTGCGGTGCCCCTTTTCTTTGTGGAAGGTGCACCGTGATCTTTCGTCATAGTCCTTCTGAGCTTCCCCTAGCTTGGCTGGCCATCTGACGAAAGGCTCATCTCTTATTTCGCTCAGAATCCGATATATCGATTTCTTGAACACCGTGGTTATGACAGTGCGGATTCTCAACCATTTTTTATCCGGGTCTTCTCCGTTATCTCGTCTGCCACGTCCGTTTCTGTTCGGTTGATCTACCGTATTAACCTTCGTTGCGGTCTTCTTTTCTGGTACTGTGGTCGCCCCAGATTTTGCTTTGGCACGTGCGCCATCCTCCTTCACCCTGATGTAGCTGATGCAACTCTTTCATCAAGGCTTCCATGGTGGAGGCTGCGATGGACCTGGTGGTCTATTGTTTGGGATCGAGTCCCTTAGTCTGTTTCCGACTGGAAGGCCTCTTTTATACTGTGCAATGGCGAGATTGTGGGGGCAGTCCCCAATCTGATTGAATGTCTTCCAGTAGCGACTATTGTAGGATCTTAGGGTCTCTTTATCGCCCATGTTGATGGAGAGTAACTGTCGATCTCCACCGGGGTTTTAGTGTTTGTTCGGAACCTTGTTACGAACGCCTCTGCCAATTGCCCCAAGAGGCTATGCTGTCCTCTTGGAAGTTTCTCGAACCAAGTCAGGCCTAGGTCGCCATGGCTAGATGGGAAGAGTATGCACATTAAGGCCTCGTTCTGCCTGTATACAGCCATGACTGGCGAAAGTTGCTTCAAGTGTGAGTAGGGGTCCGTCTTCCCTTCATATGTAGTGAATTTGGCGGAAGGAAGCCTGATGGTAGGGGCGCGTTTTTAATCGCCGGAGCGAGACCGGCGAAGTGTCTGCACTTAGTTGCGCCATTTCCGTTGGTTGTAGGTCCCGCAAGGCGCCGGTATTGATTGGCACTCTCCAACCTCGGACGCATGTGTCGCATGCGTACCGAGTGAGCCACCCCAGCTTAAAGCACGAAACACTCTAGTCGCTGTGCATTCCATCCTGGCATCTTCCTTGCATGCTGCGACACACTTCTCGCAGAGCCGTGTATCTCTGTATGGTCGATATCGCTCGTACGTCATACTCCGATACTGTTCTAGACTGGTTTGGTGGTTATGCGGAGGGCCAGATACGTACTTCTCGAGTGGATAGATCTTTCAGAATCTCGTTCTCTTCAGAACTGTAGACGCTCCGGGTTTGTAGACTGATGAGCTAGCCGCATCTGCCTGTCACTGGTCTTCTGCTCTTTCTCGCTCGCTGCGATGTGTAGTATTGTAGGTAGTATCCTATTCTACAACTCTTTCTGAGTGACGATCGGGGCGTTTGTTTTGGTCGCCATCTCCTCAGTATCTCACTCCTTGTACTGTTCCATCTGATGTGATTACGTTTTTCAAGGCCCCTGCATGTCCGCTCGCTACCATACTCATCGTCTCTATTAATTCATCTTGCTTCTCACGCAGTCTTCCAGAGCTGAGGATCAATCCTCCGCCTTTGCCTATCAGACCTTTGCGAACAGAGTGAGTGGCGGCTGTTAGTCCGCCTCTCCCTAGTATCCCTCCTGGTTTATGTCGTTGGACTCCAAGTCTACATGGGAGGGATAGAAAGTAAATCCCTCACGCCTTGTACCCCCATCTGGAGTTTGCCCGTCGAGCGAAAGGGCAATTCTTCTATGTGCGCCATTGTTTGTAAAGAGGTAAATTTGATCAAGAGGTTTTGTCTTCTGTTTCTTCCCATAGACGGCGCCAATTGTACAGGGAAAGAAATAAACCTTCTCGTATAAATCCTGTTGATCAAGTCTGCGCTCCTCTGTACGTTGTCGCTTTGTCACTGAAAACACAAACTTGAGCTAGCCGGCGGGTGTATGCCGGAAACCTCTCCGATGCCTAAGTCAGTAAGCTTGACAAATAGACAAAAGCTCTGTGTATTCAGAAAGCAAAGTTGTGTGTTACCTCTTCAAAGGTGATGTTTGTGAGCTTTTATAGGTTTCGTGTGGCACAATCCTAGTAGGACTTCTACTCCTCCACGCAGAGTCCTCCTAGGATTTAACCTCCTGAAAGATAATCCTTATCCTCCAACACTCCCCTCACTGCTTAAACCAAGTGAGATGGTTATTACCATGGCTGAACTCCAACATGATCAAAGTAATCTTGGCTATGCTGAGCCGCAGAGTAGGCCGAACTATACTTAGCTCGGTTCTTCCTTTTACTTCTCCTTATCTCGGTTCTCTCATGTACAAACCATGGTGTGTTTAGACCGAGCTACCGAGTAGCAAGGTTCTGACCGTTCTAACCACAATACGCCATGACAGGGCTAACTCTGTGACCGGCCTAACTCCAAGTCGCTTTCGGACCGGAGTAACTTTACATTTCTCTCGGGCCGGAGTAATTTTGTACCTCTCTTGGGCCGGAGTAACTTTACGGCCTTTTTACCCAGCCCTTCGTATTGTGGGCCATAATGACCATCTCCTAACTCGGCCCAATTTTTACAAAAATTACCCTGTCAAGTCCTCATCTATCATGGAATAATTAAATAGCAGTAACATTTTTAATGTTTAATTTTTAATTTTTTTAATTATTTGAAACTATTTGCTTTGCTTTATTAGAAATTGACAATTCACACGCACACTCAGCTAACACGACCCGGTCTCATTTCTTTCTCATTTTCACTCGTCTTCACACTACAAGAAATATGAGTTTTGACGACGTTCATTTAACGGCGTTTTATTAAACGCCATATTTTATAATATTTGACGGCGCTTTTTAAACGTCACTTTTTTAAAATAATAAAACGGTACCGTTTCAATAACAGAAGGCTTCAAATGTCCTCTCTCTTTCTCCCTTAAATGGGCGAGCCTCTGAAGCCCTAATCCCTCACTCGCTCATTTTGTAGCCCTAATCTTTTACTCACTCACTCTCTCGTTCGCTCTCTCTCTGAACCCTCTCAATGGATCGATTCATCTCAATGGATCAATTCATCTCAGAATGATACAATCTCGGTGATTCATCTTGGCTATTTTGATTTTGATTTCGATGTTTATCTTATTTGGAATCCTCACGGCTTCAAATCTCGCCTCTCTCAACCCTCTCTAAGCCCTTATCATTCTCACATATTCATCTTTGAGATTCAAAGCAATTTCGATTTCGAATCTCCACCACCAGCACCGTCTGCACCGGCTCGATTTCTCTGATTTCGATTTCGATTTCGAAGCTCCACCGCCACCACCATCTGCACCAGTGAGGTATCGATTTCTATCTCTCACAAACTCTTCCTCCCGTCTCTCTCGATTTGGTTATTGAAATTGTAACCAAGAACTATGAAATTGAAATTGATCAATCTGTGATTCCAGTTTAAAAAAAAAATCGATACGTGACTCAAGATTATAATTTTTATTTATTTTTTTTTTTCAATTGTTGTTTCTTCTTTTGTTTTCTTTCTCGTTTCTTTTTTGGGGGGTTGGCGTTTTGATATTTTTGTGGATTTTGTTCTTTTGGGTTTTCAATCTCTGTGAGAAGATAAGCATCATAATTTTGAATAAAGAGGTACCCTCCCTCTCTCTGTCTCTCTCTCTGCCATGATCATCAGTGTTTTGTATGTATTTTGTTTGTGCATGTGAAATTTGTGTGTATATGTCAAGGATTGGATACATTTTTTTCTGCTGTATGTTTGATTTAGTGAACATTCAATATTTGAAGCATGTAATTTTGGTTAAAGATTGGCTATTCCTTATCTTTTTTTTTCCCTTTTCTTGGTGTCATAATCATTTTAAGAAGTTGTTTGTCTTGGATTAGGTTTGAGCAGTACTATGTTTTTTCCTTCAGTCTACAAATATTTGTCAAACCAACTCTGAATAAAGCATTAGCTTCTGATTTGGGTGCGGGAAGAATGATTTTGACTTGTGCTTTTGCTGCAGATCCAGATGATCCACTGAAGACTACTGATCAGACCAGGCATCTTGGCTTAATCGTATGTTCTCTGTAGTCATTAAAATTTGAACATAAAATTTGCAATGGAGTTCTTATCTTTAATGTACTGCAAAGATTTTTAATTTTTGTGGAAAATCCTCTTTATGGAATTTTTAAAAAAAATCTGAATTGGAAAATTCTTGCATTTTTGTTTTGATTAAGTTTTAATTGGGGTAAAGAACTGGAGTATTTAGACTAACTGAAACCATGAAATACCGTAGCCAGGACATAGATAACAAGTTTTTATATGTAGTAGGCTCCTTTTATAAAAGTTCCGTAGCTTGGTATGTTCAACAAGAAATTTGGTTTCATAAATGAAGCTTTGCATTGTTTCTTTTTGTTTTTTTGTTTTTAAAATTTTTTTTTTATTAAGCAGGCAACAAGTTTTGCTGCATCTTTGGGAGAGCATCAAATTATGCATGAGTCTTTAGGTTTTGATACTGCAAATTCTCTTTTCTCAGCACTTAAATGGGAAACAAGGGTTATCATAGGCTTCGTATTTGTTGGAGTTTTTGAAAACAGTTTTCTGTTCTAGGAGTCACGTAAAACAAAAAATAGAATTGAAAATTTGTTAAGTTCATTGTTCTCAGGAGCTATTTTCAGGAAAAAAAAAAAGGAGTTAAAAAAGAACCAGTTTTCAGAGAAACACCAGAATTCTGTTCTGTTTTTTTTTTTTATACGAGTTTCTTTTTGTAATTCAATCTACAGTGCATAGAATGCCCTTGATTTGAGTCTAAATTTCTGCCCCTCACCCTTTGTTCTTCTTGATGAGATATTTGAGGACAATGATAGGAAAAATAGAGTTTGAATGCTACATTCTTTCCACACAAAAAAAGAAAAAAAGAAAAAATAAATAAAAAGAAGAAGATTATTTGGCGATCTATCCTATAACAACTTAAGCTCATCAGTTGATTCAGTCGATTCATTTTGCCGAAGCCGACAAACTAAATTGTAAGAATGCTTCTTTCCTACTTAATAACTACTACCATAATCTCTCAAAAAATTTCTGTGTATCCAGCTCAACTTTTCACTCTCTATTTTCTACAGGAACTTGTTTGGAAGCTCTTCAGAGGACAATGCTTCGTAAATTTCTAAAACTTTCATAATATTTTTTTGTTGTTTTCATAAATTATTTGGGCACTGTTTCAGTTTATTTCTTTCTTATCTAACCTAAATTCTAATATAATATGTTGCTGACTGGTTCATGATCTCATGTTGTTCTGTCAGTGAAATTCTTGCTTACCGTGGTTGTGTACGAAGTAAGTAGAAATATTATTTATTGTGTTGATAATTTGAGAGTTATCATTGCTGTGTAAAGCATTTACCTGTTTTTAAGGCTTACACACTTGGGGACTGGAAACTGAAAATATGATGTTGGGATTCCATTTGTCTTCTTTCCAGGTGTAGCTAGTGGATAAAAAATGGTGGCTTAAAGAAGATTTTTTTTAGAAAAAAAATGTTTAGCTTCTTTTAGGTTAAAATCACAAATAAGGATAAAAATGTACTTGACTGTTTATTTTTTGGGGGCTTAGGGGGATGGCGTTATCGAGTAATTCTTTCCTAGATCTCTTTGTTTGCTATCTTTCTTTTTATTTCAAAGGTAAATAATCTAGTTATGTTTTTGTCTCAGATGTCTCTTCTTTCCATATAAATTGTGGTGGAAGTGAAGTAGTTGTTGATGGAAAAACATATGAAAAAGATATAGATTCAGCTGGGTCTTCATGGCTTTTCATAAGCCCAACTAATTGGGCATTTAGCAGCACTGGTGACTTTGTGGAAGATAATTGCCCTTCAAAGACATACCATTGAACTTTAATGTCCTGTGGTCCTTCCCATCCTGATCCTGTTTGATTTAATGAATATTTATGTAGGAATTGGTTGTATCCTGTCATTAGTGCGCTTGTCAAAGTGAATTTTGTAGTTTGTTATCTTTTTTGTCAACTGTAGTTCCCATTAACTATTTTTTATTTTATTTAACATCCTATTGATTTGTTGAGAACTTCAATTTATGGGACCTGATGTTGATGGCATTCAGATAAAGGCATTCAGATAAAACCCAAGTCAAAGCACATATGGATAGACCATTGCAGCCTCTGTGATTATGATGATGGACTGATAGATATCACCCGAGAGAGCACATATATTACAATTTCTAGGTTTGGGAAAGTACATTTATATAATAATTACACCAGAAACTGGGGGCATTTATGCTGTATGTGCCAGTGTAGAATCACAGGTAAAGATGCTTCCAGCTGCTGCTTTCTTCATCATCTACCTCCTCTTTTCCTTTTTGTTGGTTTGAATTTTAAGGTGTTAAAAGATATTATACATGGTTGGCCACTTCCTATGAACATGTTTATGGTTTTTTGGCTTCAGATATATTCACAATGCAATATATATAAAGCAGGACAGAAGAAGGTGGCTTTCAAATATCTAACAGAGAAGGTAATTTGTTTTATCTTGGCATTCTATCAATGATATCTGAAACTTCATATGAAGACATTAGTGACTTCAAGAAATTGTTTCTTTAATGGCACAAGTTTCTTTATGTTGCTTCAAGAAACAGTTCAAATGCATGCTTGGGATGGTAAAATTTCATCCCATGATAGGGAACTCCTCACTTTAAGCAGGGAATTTTTACTTCCATCACACTACAGGAAACGAGGGATTTAACGGCGTTTAATTAACGACGTTTTATTAAACGTCACGTTTTTTAATTTTTAACGGCGTTTTTATAATCGCCGTATATTTTTTTAACCAAAACGGCACCGTTTTGTAATGGAAGGCGTTTAGAAACGCCTCCGAATGCGGTGCATACACGCGCCCCTTTTGAAACCCTTATTCATGAATCTGTGCCCTTTCTCTCTCTTATAGCCACACATCTCTCTTATCTTATACGCACACATATCTCTCTCTCTCAGCGACGAAGAAGACGAAGGAGAGTACTCTAGGAAGAAACTTCATCTCTCGAAAGATCAATCGGCTGTTCTTGAAGAGAGCTTCAAAGAACACAAGCTCCATCGGCTGTTCAAAGCGATTTCGAAGCGATTTCGAAGATTCAGATCGATATCAATCGGCTGTTCAGAGCGATTTCGAAGCGATTTCGAAGATTCAGAGCGGCATGTGCGTTGCTGAACTTGTCGTTGATCGACGAGAACAAGATTTCGATCGGAGCTTGCGGAGCGATTCCGCCCTTGATAACGCTGTTGATGAATGGATCGAATAGGGGGAAGAAGGACGCGATGACGACGCTGTACAAGCTGTGTACGGTGAAGGTGAACAAGGAGAGGGCGGTGAAGGGAGGGGCGGTGAAGGCGGTGGTGGGGCTGGTGGCGGCGGAGTAGATGGCGGAGTTTTGGTGACAGTTTTTCCCTTCAAACAAAATCTAAACTGTCTTGACATCAATTTATTTGAAAATCAAGTGACAGAAAGCTCGAATATGAAGGTTTTTGAGTTCACATTATTTACTTCTCTGTTATTAGAATGGTGAAAAAAAAAGTATATATTTTTTAATTCTATTATGAGGATAATTTTTAGATACACATAATGATCAATTAAAAATGTATACATGTTCCATTTCTTGTTAATTTTTTTTTTGTGTGGAATTTTCATGACCTATTTGTTATTCACCTCTAACTAAGTTGGTCATGAAATTAAGGTCATCTTGTAGATTCCAAGAGCCATATGACCCATGTCCCTCCCTCCTCCCGCATCTCCTTTTGATTATTTCTCTTTTGCCAAGACCTCTATGGATAAAAATCTGATATACAGGGGAAACACTAGGGTATATATATATATATATACATGGATTTGAAATGAATGGATTTGATATCACTCATTCAAGGAGTATAACGTTTAGTTCAATGTAATATTCTAGGTATGGATTTCAACAATGGATTTGAGAGTTTTAGATTAATGGATTTGAAATATCTGAGTGAATATGGTTATTTGAAATCCTTTAATGAATGATTGTACTTGTAAAATTTATTAACAAAATTCATCTTTCCTATCTCTATGCATCCTTCACATTAGAATTATCAATCTATATCCATTAATCAACTTTCTTATAATTTTATAAAGTTGAACATCAAATCCTTTAAATATGTGGAGTCAACTTCTATGTCTGCTGACAAGCGTGTTGATCTGGATATTCCCTCTTATGATTTTGTTTTTGTTATTCCAAAATGAAGTTGGCAAGGGAATTTGTGTTTGGTGTAAGCTGGGGTCTAGACCATGACTGTTACAAAAATTATGCAATAAAATAATAAAAATTAAAACGACTTTGTAAAAGATAACATATAAAATTATGAGAAGAATAGATGGTAAGAAAGTTTTAATTAGTGAGAATTTGAGACATTCTTCCTCACAGAAGGTGCTTACTGAATGTAACAACTTGAAAGCTCAATCTAAGTACTCACGATCTTTCTTTCACATTCACTAGAATGATACATAAATGAGTCATGAATCAAAGTCGGTCATTAAATTAATAAAATTGGTTTGAAGAACACGTCCAAACAATCTCAACATACAACCATTTTGTAGATTAATTGGCCGTTGGCATTTCTTGGCAATCTCATCTCTTTCACTAGCCAATGACTCTAGTATTTGTAGAAGAAATTTTGTACTATTTAATATTTACTCTCCATTTGTTCGACTAAAAATACTTTAGAAGGTACAAACACGTTCAAATTGAAGTATTATTTTTGAGGATACTAACTCTGCAGCTCACAGATTAGTTTCAGGTTCAGGTCCAAGCTTCAAAGCTTCGACAGATCAAGACAGCTCAAAGAGTTCAAGGAGCTAGCTCATAGCTAATTGTATCATTCTTGTGCTGCAGCTATAGCTGAACATCTTCTTCAGTTAGTTAGATAGTTTGTTAGGTGGTTAGTTAGTTAGAGTTAGTTCTCTTCTTCTTGTATTCATAGAGAGTGCTATTGGATATTTGTAAACATTGAAATTGAGTTGAATGATATCTGATTGTTCTGTGTTTTTCATCATGGTATC